TTCTTGTTTTGTATGGAACGTGAGAATTGGGTTGGTTACATACTGCTTCATATGGAGATGTGAGAGTTGGGGAAGTTACTTCTTGTTTTGTATGGAACGTGAGAATTGGGTTGGTTACATACTGCTTCGTATGGAGGATGTGAGAGTTGGGGAAGTTACTTCTTGTTTTGTAAGGAACGTGAAAATTGGGTTGGTTACATACTGCTTCATATGGAGCATTAAAAGGGCCATTACATCCTGCACCGTATTTGAAAATATTGAACAAGGGTAGTTATTTCTTGATTTGTATGAAATGTGTCTGTTGAGGTAGTTACAACTTCCCTCAGTTTTGGTTTTGTGTCATCATCTTGGTCAGGAAACAATAGATTCATTTTTCTTGACTCCATCAAGAATGATTGTGTATGTATATACATGCCTTATGGAAAAGAGATTTCTTGCAAACTACAGATATTTCTTTCTGTAGAATGAACACTGGTTACAGTATGTGTTTGGTATAATGATATATCAGTGTAGTCATCTTCCCAAACAGACCTACCCATGGCAGAACATTTTGAACAGACTGAATGTTGTCTTTGCTGTATTGTTTCCATGCTGAATTTTGACACATGTCTTGAGGGTATCCAGTTGGTTGACTTGAGTCAACTCCTCTCTACCCATCATCAACCAGTTAGCAGGTTAATCTTCAGACTTAATCTATTGAATAACCACAGAGTTCTTCTAAAAAATGTCAAAATATTGGTTCGGTGTTCCAATTACAGAATGTAAATACATTTATCTCAAATTCTGTCTGCATGAAGAGATTGATTGTGCAAAAAAAAATGGTTGGCCATTTGCTTCAGAATAGAATAGAATGGAATCAATACACTTTATCTTAAGGACATGAAGTTTGAAGAAAAACAAACATTTTAAGTGTGTTTTTAATGAATATAGTTTTTTCAGTTTTGCCCGAAGATCTTCAACTGAATCAATATATATTGGAATTTTGTTTTTTAAATCAAAACTAGCTATTTAAATTCTCCTTCTGTTAAATTTTATTGTGAAAAACATGTTCAGGGCCCCATTTCACAAAGCATTACTAAAGCTGTGAAGATAGGAACTCCCTTGTGCAAACTAAGACTTTGGAAAGTTGTAATGGTGAGATAAGGAGCAAGAATTGTATCAAATATAGGTCATGGTGCAACTTCATGTATATTTCAAAGGTAAGGCTTGATATTTTTCCAAAAACAAAAACAATTGAACTGTTTATTAATCTGAGAAATAAGCTACTGACCTAACCTAAGGCCACCATGAGAGAATTATAAGATTTTCATCCCAATCTGCTTTGCTACCAGAATTGCTCACATTGTTTTATTGTCACCAGTTACTTACAGAAAATCACAGTGGTTTGCTCCCATTTAATTTCTTGATGGATCATGATGTTGATCACTGGATTGTCTGGTCCAGACTCGATTATTTACAGACTGCCACCATATAGCTGGAATATTGCTGAGTGTGGCGTAAAATTGAACTCACTCACTCACTCACGCCATATAGCTGGAATATTGCTTAGTGCGGGGTAAACCAAAACTAACTCACTCACTCACTCACTCCATGGACAATACTGTGTTACGAAACATTCATGTTTAATATCAGTCAACAGTTAATGTACACAAATGCCCTGAACAATTTCTTCAAAATTAAACAATAATACCTAATAAAGTCTGCATGACAATCTGATAATTATTTTTACCATAACTAATTAAAACAAAGCAGAAACAGCACTATGTGAATGAAATATGGAGGCAGTACACCAAAATACCTCAAACAAACTCCCAATTTGATTTTGACAGATGGTTGCCTTGGGCTTGTCTGTTGCGGACACAACATCACTCTCCTTGGTCAGTTTCACAGTGATGCAGCGTTATTCACATCAGTATTCCTTTTGATCAACTATTCTATAAACTATGGATACGATTACACCAAACAAAAAAGTAACCTAGATGAAAGGAAGCACAAGAACCACTGATATAAGTATCAGTTGTGGCTGATGGGGTGTCAGATTCATGCTAATGTCATCTACACCTGGCTGTGTTGTGTTCATGTCCACCTTAGGTGGATGTTAGGAAGGCTGCATACTAGGATTAAGCGAGGCAGTAGGTTCACATTTGTTTCAGATGTGTGTATGCCAATTCTCTCATCTTTTCTGAGCTTTTGACTTGTTGTTCGAAAAGATTTCGATGGAATTTGTCTCCATCGTTTCCAAATTTTCTTCTCATGAATATTTTGGGGTTAGCTCTTTTTAAACATATTTCATCCCTGTAAATGCAGTCAACTACTGCTGGTTGCAGACAAGCTCCCTGAGACAAGAGGAGACTGTCATTGTAGGGTGGAGAAATTGACAGGAGGGAAGATATTCAAAATGGAATATTTTGCAACTGTGTGTGTGTGTTATTAATAAAAGCAAATTCACATCTTTGGTCAAGAAGCACAGCCCATATTTTGGTTATGAAAACAATTGACATACATTTGAGATGGTGCATCCAGCGAGGGATTAATATGTCACCTTGCCCTCTGCTTCATCAATTATAAACTGATTGCTACATTAGAAGGAGACACTGTTATGTTATACCATGTACACAAGTCAAGTTTTCCATGTGAAAGAGGGGCAGTGGGGTAGCCTAGCTAGTAGTTAAAGAGTTCGCTTGTCACGGCTAAGACCTGGGGTTTGATTACCTAGATGGGTACAATGTGTAAAGCCAATTTCCAGCGTCCCCTGCCGTGATATTGTTAGAATATTGCTAAAAGCAGCATAAAAATATACTCACTCACTCCATGTGAAAGAAGTAGATCTGAGGCCATTAAAGACTTCTGTTGTCATTCTAGTATAGCATGTTATCATTTGAAACAGAAAGAAAATAATGAATGGTTGTACATAATCGAATGATTTAATTCTGTTCCTGCTTTCTTCTGTCATAATATGCTTTGTTGTCTTTCAGTCTAAAACTGAAAATCTAGTTTGCTCTGTATGCACATTCACTAGTCATAAGTTAAGCAACTTCAGAACGTTGGTAAATTTCACATCAGCTGAAGATTTTGATATTGTAAAAGAATTTATATATAGACAAAAACGTGTGAAGTACAATTTCACCAGATTGTTTGATGTTTAAATCTGATGTCATACAAGCATGGGTCATTGTTGCTTTTGGTGGTCACATCTGACATTTGCTGCAATTTGTCATCACTGAATATATGCCCAAGACATAAAGTCTATAAATATAGATTGAAATATAGACACAACTGTTGCTTTACTTATGACCAACAGTATATCATTTGTTGCTGTATTTTAGTTGCTGTGTTTGTATTTATGTAGTCATTTTCCTATATTGTTTGTGATGTCATTTGTAGTATTATTTATATCTGTAGTTGATTCTGTTAAGAGCGGTACATTGTGTATCTAACATATCTGTAGTTGATTCTGTTAAGAAAGGTACATTGTGTATCTAACATGCTTTAAGTCTCATGAAACATATCACTGATTATGACTTAAGTTTAATTTTTTTAAAGAAAACTTCTTTGTAAAGCTTTTGTTAATTTTTTGTTGCATGTTATAAGATTATTCACTTATTTAGCAGATGCGTTTTTGTAATATTTGAGATTTTTATGAATGGACATTTGTCTGGAGAGAAAGGTATAGATGCAGTGAGATGTAAGAAGAAAGTAGAGTGGAAGGGATGAAGTAATTACAGTCTTCATCTTCTGTAGACAAGTGATTACTACCGGAGTCAGTTGGTTGGTTTGGGGCACTAGGGTAGACTAGTGGTTGAAGCATTGGCTTCTAATGTCGAAGACCAAGGTTCAATTCCCCACACGGGTTCAGTGTGTGAAGCCCATTACTGGTGTGCCCTGTCGTGATATTGCTATAATATTGCTCAAAGTGGCATGAAAATCATACTCACTCACTCAGAGCCAACAGTTTCATTTTGTTGGTTTCAAATCCTGCTGCAGAATCTATACACATGGAAGACCAAACTGTTTTATTCCTGTTTGTTTTGCAATTTTTTAAGCTAAGATTTCAGTTGAATATATTCCATAAGAAAAAACTTCTGAATAAATCTAACACTGATAACATAGAATTTATGTTTTCTGTTTGCAAATTCCTGTTTGCAAAAAGTCTGTTAATGATATTTTCCTCAGTGCTGAGAAGGACAACTACACAATTGGAACATTTTGAGAGGCATGTTTCAAATAAATTTCAGTGTGCCGTGTACAAAGCAATCTTGCTGCTAAGGTGATAGTAACTCCCATGCCTAAATATAGACTATTGACAGTTGTAGCGCTATGGTTACTTTGTACAACATCACTCTAGATTTGACTATCTCTGCATCAGCTTAAACCAGTGCGGTAAAACCTGTCCAGGTCTAGCTGAAATAATTACCGTTGTGGAAGCCAAAGACAGTTTTGCTGCATATAAAGTATTCAAGAATCTCTCGGATCAGAAATATTATTGAAGAATGCAGTATACATTTACACATGTACACATATCACATGTAGTTTTTTCACTTTCTTTTTGTTGTTGGTTAATGTCGGTAAGCTCAGTTATTTTGCTTTATTATTTACCTTTAAATAAATATCAATAAGACATATATTTAATCTGCTAATAGTCATTAATTTACCTGAGTCTGTTTGTGGAAAGTTTACCAGAATAATACCATTTCTAGTCATAGTTCCTTAATAAAGGCTTTTGAAGAGAATTTTCAAATTCATTTTTAAAAACATTTTTGTAACCTTGTGTTATTTGTCACTGTCATGCTGATAGAGTTTTTGTGGAGCAGATGTATGAAGTTTATTTCGATGCATAGACTTTGTTAACTCCATCCTTCATAATTTTCGTGCTGTTAAAATAGGAGAGCAGAATAACATCCCTGTCCTGTGTGTGCCGTGTGAAGCACGTTTGTCATGTCCATCGATTGTAGTGCTTTTGTTGCTTACTGTTTGATTAATGGTGTCAACTTCATCTTCAGACCTTGGGCAGTTTGCATTTTGGTGAAAAATATCAGGTATTTTGAAAACCCCACCATTGTTCTGTATTTTTCTAATTTCCTTTGTCTATGTTTTCCATGTGTCTTGCTACAATTGCCAGATCAACAGTTTGCTATTCGTGTCATGTATATGTGTCTCTGTTATCACATCCTGCAAAATGTATTTTATATCATGCAATTACAATGTATCACATACAATACTCGTTTCCTTTCTTCATGAATGATTGTAAATTTGATCATGTATTTTTCAAAATTTTATTAAAATTTTAGCTATGTTTTGAAATATATCTGGATGTACATAATATCACCTGTTACATGTTCATGACAAATTGTATGAACTATATTCAAATGAGAGACATTTCTTTGATAATTTTGTATTTAATTTAAAATATTTTGGATGACATTGGATTCTGTCTCTGGACCACAGTAAAACACATTCTCATGATAATTGAATGCTCTGTGAATATTCATAATGTGAATTGAATGCTCTGTGAATATTCATAATATCTTTCTTTGTTTCCTAATAAATAGCTTAACACTGTAGATGAACTTAATGAAGTTAAGGTAAAATATGAAACTATTACTGTGCCAAATATCCACTGAACTGTAAAAGTTGAAGAATGAGATGCTCTAGCTGCATCTGTTAGTCTGACATTTTCACCATACAGGTCACCGTTTGTCTCCATCTCATGACTTCATGTGAAATAATTCATCTTGTCTTGGCCTACACTTTTCAAGATATCACTGAAACTCATGAAAATAAAATCATTATCATCCTTGTCAATTTCTTCATGAAAAGGCATTGGAACATTCTTGAAAATTCTTCATGTGCACATCGACCTATTTTAAAAGTGAAATTTTTCAAAGCAACAAACAGTTCAATGGATAATTTGTTTTGAAACACACTTTCTTTCATTGCTTCAATCACATTCAACTTAAATGAAACCATTTGCAAGCTCTTATTACGAAGTTGATTTTCTTCCCAATCCGTTAATCATTGGTTCAGTCAAAGCCAGTTTTCTGCACTGTTTGAGATGATTGAATGCATTATGTGTGTGTAGTGTTGTTGATGTTGCAAGGATGTGACACAGGTTGTTGAGGATGATGACTCAGGGAAACAACACCAGGTGTTGGAGAACTCACAAAGAAAGCACAATTGCAGGATGTCAATCTGACCACTAGCGTGGCCACAATGGCTGCTGTATATGGATTTCTTTGGTGATCCCTTTAAGTCTGTCAGTTTATACTATTGCCACTTTGGGCATGTGACTGTTGGAGAGAACTCTCAGCTGAGTCATGCCTGATTAAATCCTTAATCTTAATGTTGGATAGTCAATTCATGATAATTGCATTTCCATGCTGAGGTTGCAGGCCACATTGTGAAGCTCTATAGTAATAATAAACATGTTCACTTGATTTGTCACTCAGTAATGGTTGCAATCTGCAAGCTGTGATAGGTGTAGTTTTTTCTTGTTTTGTTTTCCTGGAAAGGATTATGGTGCTGAAGATAATTTCAATAAAAATTCATCTTAGACATCTTTTGAGAGGAAGTGTATTTACTTAGGTAACTTTTTTGTATGTGTCATATGAATTCCATATCAGTTACTGTAATGGCTATAAACCGCAGGCTGCCTTTTTAGGATATACAAGCACCTGTTCAATGATTAAAGTTCATCTATGGGCAATGTAAGACCATTAGTTGGGATTGTAGGCTTTGAAGTTTATTTAAAAAGTGAAATTGAATTCAGGGCTGTTAGTTCACTTCACACAAAATATCAATTGTTTGCTGATTGTCACAATAGCTGTAGGTGATGTTGTAAGACGTCAAGGCTGTAGCTGTATTGTTACAGAATGCAGAGAGGGACCACACTGTACCATTAGTGTAAATTGATCAATGATAAGTCTCATTATGGAAACAGCTACAGGTGGTATTAAGTCAAGTGATATTTGATTACCACTGGAATTAGATCTTGAACCTAGAATTGCAATGTTGTTTTGACAGAATAAACTAACTTTGAAGCAAACTAAGTGCCAGAATTACAAGGTGGTCACGGAGATGCTGGCAGATAGCACACAACTCCAGGGAACAAGGACAATGCACTAGGAGAGTTCTGAAATTATTTTCTTAACAGTTAACCAGCATTTACCCTTTCCTTCAACCATAATTTGTTGTCGAAAGAATACATCAAAGAATCAGATGACTGCTGCAATTGTAAAGAATATTTGTTTGCTCCACCAAGAACAATTATTACTGAGAAAGGTCACATTTTCTAGATAAATGAAGAAATATGGACCTCATTTGCAGTCTTCCTGTTAATTTGCAACCCGAAAGCAATTTCAAAATTGATCAACTAGGTACATGAAAAACAAAGATTTATACGTGAAAACAGCTTTCTGCAGAATGAATCGCACCTGCTTGACCAGTTTGGTTTTGGGCAATGCAATTGACAAATGTGTCATTATCCCATTAGAGTTTCACTTTTAGCCAATTTACCTCCTGCTTCAAGAGTTCCTCAGTAAAAACACAAATGCACCTGCAATTACTGGGAATAATTTAAGGCTTTTGCAGGAAAACAATAATCAACATTGTTGCTCTGGTGGGTTAGAAATATATGGTTGTGATGTGCAGTTGGCATGGTAGAAGGCTGCATGATTGATTATCACGTTAGTCTGTCCCCCCTGCACAGCGTAATTGACATCCTGTGTGCAGTTGTCAATCACATGCATGTCAATCAGCAGGGTGTAAAACTGACTTCACATTTTTTACATAGAAGTTTAATGCTTTAATTTTTAAAAAGCTTTAAAAACATTGGTATTTTGTGTTTACTGATCTTCAATTATTCATGAAATAATTATTGAGTTTGAGATGTAAATAAGATTTGAGTGTGAATGAAAGTGTATGCAACTCTAATGTTAAAGAACTGACCCAGTCTGCATAGTTCTATGTCAATGCTGGAACTTTGGCCGGAATGCCATCAAATTGCATCAAAATTTCATTCCAGATTCAAATTTTGATGGAATATTTATGTGTTGACAAGAACCAAAAATAATAGAAACAACATGTCAATGATTTGATAATTTATACTGAATCCAGACACTTTGCCAAAGGTATGTTAAGGTTTCACGAAAAACACGGTTTCCTGAAAGTTTCATGTTGATTATGCCAAAAAAATTGAATGATGTGTGATTATTTCGGCTGAAGTGTTTTGATGATGTTTTCAGTGAATTATTTACACACAGTTAATCTTTGCTACTACTTTCTTCCATTTTTCAGTCATTGTTTGACAAGCAGTGTAATTGCAGCTTGAGCTCGTTCATCATTAACCGTCGCTGTTAACAACGCCATCATCCATTCCACACTTGGGAATTTGTATCACATTATTGAAATTAAACTCCAACTTAACTTCACAATGCTTCCTGAGTAGGAAAGTGTCATAAATTTGACATAAAGTTTCAATTATATTTTCCTTTCCACTTTTTTACATATAATCTCATTCAAATTTGATCTTTCACTATGATTTTATACTCTCTCCATCAAAATCTGACATTTTCCATTGGAAGATGCATCGCTTGAACTTTCAAATCAACCAATCAGCATTGGAACTTCAAAATTCTATGAATGAGTGAATAAATCATGTGGCAATTCATATCTGATTGCTTTGTCGCAAATCTGAATTATAAAGGCAGTTCTTAATGGAGAATATTTAAGGCTGTACTATATATATAATGTTGTGGGTAATATGTACATATGTTGTCATTTCTCATGGCACAGACAAGCAAATGGTTTACTACACATTTGTTTTCTGTATTAGTTTTCTTTCTATTACAATTTCCAATCTGAAGTTTCAAAGAAAAGAAGCCAAATTGTTTTTTACATCTGAGTGAATCAAGAATCAAAAGTTTCCTTCATTTTGATTGGAGGGTCAAAGTTGACTCAAGGTACCCCTGATGTGCCTTTTGATGGATTGTTTGTCAGGTCTGGAAGGAGAGATGTATCGAATGTGATCTGAATTTAATGAGATTGCATGTGATAATGATTTTAACTAACCACAGCTTCCTCCATGAAAGGACATTTCCTGACCCCGAATGTTACCAACAGTGATGAATCTTATTTCCTTCCAGGCTACAGCAGTGAAGACCTTCTTTTTGTAACATTTGATTGCTTCCTTCCAGTAGCTGGGCCTTGAAGGCAGTGAACCCACCTTCACACCGTACCCAACTGTGTCTGTTTGATGGCTTCTAACTGACTCACTTTGATCCCCATTCCAGGCCCCTGAAGGGGAAAACCAGCCCAGCACCGACGTGGATCTGTTTGTGTCTACTGAGAAGATCATGGTACTGAACACCGATCTGCAGGTCAGTTCGTTCTACCGACTCATGGGGATTTGGAGGGAAGATTCCATCCCCAGAAAGCCTTTCTTGCATTAAAATGCTCAATGGACTGGGTTGTCACACTCAACGATGTTGCAGCCAAACAAGTGACGTTGTGAGGCATGATTGTGCGTCATCTTACCCTGACAACGTCACTTGTTTGGCTGCGATGTTGTTGAGTGTGACATTCAGCAGCACATATGTAGATAGATAGGTCAGTCCTTACTGTCATGAACTCATATGATCAACAGATCATTCGTTTATGCTCTTACTCTGAATCACTGGTTTACAGGGTTTAGACAACAAAACTGACATGTCCAGGATGGATAACTAAATTTGCTGACCCACATGTCCTCACCCTTGTCACATGCACAACATGAATATGCTTGGAAGTTTGAACACCAGTATACCATGGTATGACAGTTATCACTGACTGATTGACAGAACCTCCTGTCAACAGTAACCAATTTTACAGAACTGATGACATAAGCTATTATCTCTTTCCTTGAGGACAATACAAGCATCACCTTCCAAAATACTTAATGTAATGAAGGCATATTTGGATGGGTTTTGTATGTATTTTACTGAAAGACTCCCAAATTGAAAGTTCACTGCCATGTAATTTGTAAGTGCTGCAAACTATGAGCAAAACAAAACCTGAAGGAGGAAGGATTGGCCATTACCTGAAATCTGTGGAAGTATGTTCTTTTGGCTTAATTTCCCACAAGCAATTATTGTTCTTCTTTATAATGGCTTCAAATATCCTGGCCATTTTCCAGACCCAGTTCAGCCTTCTGCAGCAATTTCCTATAAAACATATCGCTGACAATCATGTAATTTGCTCTCTCTTTTTGCACACTGCAAGGTTTCCTATAGAGTTGTTGTAATTGTCACCAAGTCATTTAGCCCCTGTAACAGAAGCCCTGCAGCCATGTAAACCAACACCCTTGTTTACTGCAGGAAGTGTCTATCTGTGTACTGAGAAAGGGGGACACAATCACTGGGATTGTGCTCGATGGTCTATAATCGTCCTGAAACCCTATTCTTCTATCGGGAGACCTCTGTACTGTCCTGACAGTTTTCACACGCCTTGTCTGACATTTCCACATTACTGTCACCAATTACTTCCAAAGTAACATGTTTTGTGATATATTGCCCTTAACTTGACGTGGCTGGTAGATTAGTAGATGCTGAATGTCTTGTTAGCTTCTGAGACGAGAAAATGAAATGGGGTTAGATGTAGCATTGTTTAGCATGAAATTACAGCCTGATTTTTCAGAATGTTGATTAAAGAAAATGAGGTCATTATGACAAAGTTTATAACATTAAAACCTATTATGATAACAATAAGCAAAGGAAATGATCAAAAAAGGTATGATTAGGATTGAACAGGTGATTGCTTATGGTGAACAATGACTTTCAAATAATCATTACTGGTCTTAAGATCATGTTATGTTCTCCAGGAAATTATGATGGACCACTCGTTAAGAACAATATCCTATATTGCGGATATCGGTGATATTCTGGTGATAATGGCACGACGTCGCCTCATCACAAGCCCTGATTCCGAATCTCTACGTAGAAGACGACAGGCAAAGATTCTGTGTCATGTCTTCGAGTCGGACGAGGTAAGTGCTCATCAAATTAGTCCCATTTGCTAGAGAAGTGACACCCCGTTCCAGTGCATGCCAATATTAGGTCTTCACTGATGGACCTGGACTCGTTCAGAGGAGATGCTCACATGGTCAGCATCACATCCTCCAGCCCTGGAAGAAATCTCCCAGTTTATGATCTTCTGTTCATTACCTTTGGCCATGATAAACTTATGAGATTGTCCTCTCCATCTGCCCCATTGCCAAACCACCCATCTCATTCAATTTTACAGGCCAATGGCGGCCATTCATAAATACATGAACCTCTCTGCTCTCATCAACATTCTAGACTTAACTCACTTCTGAAATACAAAGTTTGTACGTAAATGAGTTACATGATTAAATTTATTGTGGCCTGAAAATTCTCTGTTACCTGTTCAAGGGGTCCTTTCAGATATGTAATTTTGAAATTTTAGATAGTGGAAGTGCTTTCATTCAAGTAATTGAAACTATATGTTAGATCTTTGTTCTTCCAGCTTAATTTCTAACACTTTTTTTCCTGCATTTACCTTTACAAAGATGGATCTATTCAAGTACCTGTTATTCTTTGGTACTGAGAATCTGCTTAATGCTGTTTGTGCCCTGTCTGTGAATGGTTTGAACTTCTTCCACAGATTTTCTTCTGCTGTTTCTGGTACATCTTCTTTTCAGCAAATACAGGTTCTGAATTAAAAGAACCAAACATAAAAGATGTCAGTACATGAAATTCCTGCACACAGGGCCAGCAACTCCTGAAGCTGAATATGGCTTTAACATTTATACCAATTAGGACTGTTTCCAAATGCTTTCTGTTGCTTTTTCTATTCTGTTTTATATCTCTTTGGCTCCACATTAAATGATTACCATGTACTTTTTTCAGTATTTATATTTTATGCTCATTTCATGATTATGCCAAGAGGGTTGATTAGTTCATCGGTTCAGTATAAGAACAGCCTGTCATTCCAATACTTACTTTGTGCATAGTGCAAGGATTATCAAACACATCACTAATAAATATGTTTAATTATTTGAAAATAATGCTTTGAAAGGCCATGTACTGCAGCAAAGAGACTTGAATGATCATTGACCAGGACCAAAGTGTCTCTCCGTGACATTTTCTTGTACACGATTCATTTGAAGCTCTTTGCTGGCGCAAGGATTACATCAAATGCTGGGCTGTTTTCGTCTCATACCAACTTCACAGAACGTGTGATATGCCTTCCCAAATCTTTGTATTGGTGGCAGGGGATTTCTGGCATGTGCTTCTTCAGATCAAGTTGACCTGGAAACTCAGTTAATCCTGCACCTTTACCACAGCTTAACATTGGTCTTTGAGTGCTGACTTGTAGGTAACACAACAATGGGGAATCAGTGTGGTTAGAGATGAGGAAATAGGCTCTCCCAGTCCCAGGTATCACCATGTGTCCAGTCATGACCTCTGGGGAAGGATTCTGCAGCCTAATGGGACACAAATACCCACTGTGTATGGAATAATCAGTGTTGTGGGGACAGTGTATGGTGAAGCTGATAGGGCTGATGGTACTTATCTATGCTCATACTGTCAACCACTACATGGTCCAGGATGGATTTCCTACAGGATAACATGTAACTTGACTATTGCTGATAGAGATGCAAAGCAAAATTAATTAATAAGTTTAAATATTCTCCAGTCAACCAAACTGTTGCTTGCCATGACTGGACATGCCATGTGTTCAGATGGGTCTGTTGGATTGGCATTTGTTGTATAGAGAAACATAGGTTGAAGTTGCTTGGATGTTGATTCATTTCATCGCAATAACTGGAGGAGGAACAGGTGGCCAAGTGGTCTTTCATGTGGCACACTTTGTGTCCCTTATGCATGCCAGGATCTTTTGATCATGGACTGAAATTCCCGGAGGTATAGTATGACCAGAAACTATTGAGAATTTTAGGAATATGTTTAATTGGATTTCTAGCATAATTAACCTTGACCAGCTATCAAGTGCTTGGTTTCATTCAAGAGTGACAACTTCGTTCATCCTTTTTCATTAGTTTGTGAAGAGTTATCCCCCTTTGCTTACTTGCTAGCAGACGACATTTTCAGTGATCCTCAGTATAGATGATTTAGAGAAGAGGAAGTTGATTTTAGAGTATTATAAAACAAGGACATCAGATCAGCTAAAGTGATTTACAGGTATCCCTTTGTCCACTGTTTATCGTGTTTTGAAAAATATTGCAAATGGATATGGCATTGAGCACCAGGGAGCCGCAGGTAAGCCCAGAAAATTGTCGGTGACAGGAGGCGGCTTGGTATTCTTGTTTCTAAATACAAACGAAGGAGTTTAGAAAATTTAAGGCTGGATCTGATTGATAGAGGAACTGTGGCTGTCTGTAAGGAGACAATTAGAACTGAGCTGCTGCAGTGGGTTGGCAGAAAAGTCGAGGAATTCCATCACCGATCATGAAACCTGAACAAAAGGAGCGAAGGTTGAACTGGTGCTTACAGCATAGAAATTTTAACTGGGACAATGTGATTTTCGAGGAATTCCATCACCAATCATGAAACCTGAACAAAAGGAGCGAAGGTTGAACTGGTGCTTACAGCATAGAGATTTTAACTGGGACAATGTGATTTTCTCAGATGAAAGTTCTGTGTGGCTGCTTCCTAATACACTGAAATTCTGGACCAAACAAACTGAAAAACCTTTGTATCAGCGCCCAAAGTACAGTCCATAATTTAACGTGTGGGGTGGCATATATGTGTTAGGGGCAACGCCCCTCTGTGTATTTGAAGGGAATATGAACAGTGAGCGGTACACAGATATCTCAAGGGACATTTACTTCCATCTGCTCACGTGTTCTATGGATATTTTTGGATTTGTCAGCAGGACAATGACCCAAAACATCGTTCAAAGCATTCACAGGCCTGGTTTCGGACCCAAAATATGACATTATTAGATTGGCCAAGCTATAGCCCTGACCTAAATCCAATAGAAAATGTTTGGGGACTTATGAAGGAAAGTGTCAATAAGAAAAATCTGACAAATATTACTGAAATGAAAGAAGAGGTGTTCCGATATTGGGACAGCATGGACCACGACTTTCTAACTTCTTTGATCAGTAGTATGCCCCGCCGCATTGAATCCTGCATTGCTGCCCATGGTGACTTGACAAAATACTAACTGTTCACCTGTCTTTGAATCTGGAGTTATGTTCTGCTAATATTCACATTTAATACGTGAGGAATGAGTGAAAAAAATAAAATATTTTACAATCTTAAATTCTCAATAATTTCTGGTTGTACTGTATCTCCTGTGTTCACCACTGTGTTGTACAAAGCAAGAGAATAACCTGAGACCTGTGTTACTTCAGCCTCTTTCCCTCATCAAGTTCAACACCTGTCATCGTATCACACTTACGTAGATCGATGCCATGCTGTTGATCACTGGATTGTCTGGTCCAGACTCAATTATTTACAGACTGCTGCCATATAGCTGGAATATTGCTGTGTGAGGTGTAAAACTAAACTTACTCACTCACATCAAGTTCATATGTCCTTGATGTAACTGAAATATTGTTTCAGTGTTACACCTAACTCAAACGCTCACAAGAATTATAATGTGTTATTTTAAATGTATATGCAGTGTATGAAATAATGCCCGAGACGGGCTAGATTTCTGTCGGACGGTCTAATTTTACAGCTAGCCAGCCCGAAGGACGGTGAATTTTTTTTTCAGATAACGTGTCCACTAGCACTGTCTGTTTAATATTTAAGAAGGACTGGTTAAATCTCTTCTGGGCTGGTAACTTACCAGCCCAGATGTCTGGCTGGGTTTTTGGCTTATTTCACACACTGGTATATTATAATAAGCACAAATGAACTGTTTCATACTCTTTTTGATTCTGTATATTTCATATCTCTAAATTAATGTTTTTTCAAGGAAGCCATCTTGTAAGATGTTTCCATGTGAACTCAACTCTTCCCATCACTTCTTCTACATTTTATCAATAACAAAGCATATGCCCATGACAGAGACATTGCTCCAAGCACATGTGACTAGTTTGGACAAATGAAATAACTACTAGATAAAAAAGATGGTCTTTATTTGAAGCATCTCTTCAATTGCTTTATATTAACGTAGATGTGTAATTGTTATGACTTAGAAATAATACATGTCCATCCTTTATGTGTCTGAAAATGATTATATCTCCAGATGTCTTACCCTTTATTTCACGAGTGAGCAGATACCACTTGCTGCCTCATCAGGTCGTTGTGCCCATTTGTTGAGAAGATGCTGTGCTGCTAGCTTCTCTTGGTGCAGTATCCGGCTATGTGTCCCTATGTTGCAGGAGCATTAGTGTGTACACAGCATGGGTCTGAAGGAGATGCGGGCCCCGCTGTTGATGTAGATGTACTAATACAGCACCACTCTTGGTTTAAAGTACAAGAGTTATATGGCTGCTGTTAAAAAAGTTTTCAAAGCTGTCCATCAGATATCATCATGACAAGTCCATCATGAGAGTTGATAAATCATGTGGCTAATATTTTTGGTGATGGCGGTAGTTTATGCTATTTGATAGACACGGTTGTCAGAACTAATTAGTTTGTCATTTATACATTGGGAAGATAGATAATTTGATTCAATCTACTATGTCCCTCGGTTTCAACTACATTAGATCTGCAACTCATGCATGTTCATGCTGTTGATCACTGTATTGTCCAGTGCAGACTCCATTATTTATAGACCACTGGCATATAACTGAATCTTTGCTGAGTGTGGCATTAAACAAGGAGCAAATAAACATTACATTCTCATCTTCAGAAGGCTGAGGTGATGATGTAGAAGTTGGGTAATCGTTACCAAAATGAAATAGGTACAAGTGTAAGTAGGTACGGAGAGTCTTTAAAATCTTGACATATTTGGCAGTGCATGTAGACCTGACATCCTACATAATGAACTTATTGCTTTGGGATTATGATAAGTACCACTTGACTTTCAGGCCTAATTCTGAACACA